GGTACACGAGTAGCCCCATGGGTCATGGTCCCCTTCGGGACAAGCTAGACTGCCTTACCTGCAGCAGTCAATCCCAGCTCAGAGGCATAAAACACCAGCAGAAGAATGCAGACCAAAAACTTGACACATTTCATTCCTCCTTTCATTGCATGGCTGCTTGGACCTACCCCACAGAATATGTACACTGACTCCCATGGAAGAAAAAGAAATTTCAGGACTAGTCAGTAAGAGGCATGGAAAAGATTTGTTTAAAAGAAAAAAGTACAGGGCCGGGAATTTAGCTCAATGGTTCCACCACCTGCCTCACAATCGTGCTGTCCCAAGTTTGATCCCCGGTACCAAAACAAAATAAACAAAAAAACAGGAAAAAAAATTACACACTCCAGAAGGGAGTGTGAGGATTCAGACAATGAGATGCAAAGTAAAGTATTTATTGGCTGATCCATGATGCGTCTCAATTTTCACGTAAGTTGATTCATTTTCTGTGCATGCGCCCTGAGCTCATAAACCACGAAAGTGTTACAGTAGAGTAGTGAAGAGCTTGGTTTCTAGTGCTACATTATCTGGATTGAAATCCCTGGTTTCCTTTATTGTGTGACCTCTAACAAGTTATGTAACATCTTTAAACGCATGCACAATGGGGCTAATAGCATTGACATCTTAAGGATAGTGTGATAATTAAATTAGCTGATACAACACCTGAAATACTTAGACCAGCAGCTGGCACATAGTAAGGGCTCAGTAAATTGCTAGCCATCTTTGCAGATGGTGAGGGGAGCAGGACATGGATGGAGGGGAGAGAGAAGGGAAGTAAAAAGAATTGAGATGTGTTATATATATGTATCAAATCCCCACAATGAATGTAATCAGTATGCACTGCAAACATCTACTAGCAAAAATAAAAATTAAAAAAGAACAAAGTACTACATAGAATAACAGAGAAAGTATTATATGTATGCAATTCTGTGTCAATAAATCTTTATCATTTGAATAAAAATGTTTTAACTGAAAAGATTACATGAAATCTCTTACATCTTTCTAATTCTCTAAAATCATTGGTTGATTTGTAATGCTTTACTATATTTCTCTGCTTTTCTATGGCCTTAATAGCATTAAATGTATGGAATTTATCCTGAAAAAAATGTAGCTGTCTTTAGGATAAGTATTATCCATCCACATTTTAGAGATAAGGAAACAGGGCCAGAGATTAAATGATGTGTCATACTTTCATACAGAATAAACCAAACTCAATTTAGACCTTCCAGCTCTGGGCTTGTTTTCTAGCCCATATTAGGATCATCCAATTAATTTATAGCCTGATTTGCATGCTGTGCTGGGTGCAAGAGACATTACAGAAGAGACTGCCAATACCATGTGGATAATTATAATCTCACTGAGGAAAACTAGACTTTTCACATTTTCATAAATACAAGGAAACTAGTGATACTTTCAACAGATAAGTCCAGAGAACATAAGTTTGTTGTTGTTGTTAGTGGTGGTAGTAATTGATTTTTGAGATAGGGTTTCACTACGTAGCTCAGACTGGTCTTGAACTCACAATGTAGACCAGGCTGGCCTCAAACTCATGTGGTCCTCTTGCCTCAGCCTCCTAAATGCTAGGATTATAGGTGTGCATCACCATACCCAACTTCAGAAAACATAAATTTTGTTTAAAAAAATTAAGATATGTTTTATATGCATATACCAACTCCCCATAATGAATGTACTACAGACATATGAATGAAAATTTTTAAAAATACAAATACTACCTACAGGAAGTTGAGATAATTGGGAGCAAGACCATCAAAACAAGGCTTTCTGGAAGATACAGAATGCCATTTGGGAGCTATAGAACTTAAGGGCATCCCTCTGTCTTGGGTTTAGAGATACAGTAAGGTTTCTGTTTTGCTTTGTGATGCTGGCGATTGAACTCAGAGTTTCACACAGAGATACAACCCCAGCCCTTTTTTATTTTTATTTTGAGTCAAGGTCTTGCTAAGCTGCCCCGGTGAGGCTCAAACTCGGGATCTTCCTGCCTCAGCCTCTCAGAAGGTTGAGATGACAGCCATGTGCTGTCACACCTGGATGAGTTGCTTAAACAGCTCTAAATAAGTATCAGCAACTGAAACCCATGGGTCTATTAGCGTAGACAGGCAGCTCTCTCAGAAGAAACACAGTCAGCCTGTTTGACAATAATTCTTCTTGTCTCTCCATATGCCAGACAACTCACCCGTGACAGGACAGCAGAGAGGGCAAACCCTTGGGAAATACAATGACAGGAGTCAAAAAGGCGGCTCCACTGGCCCGTTTTGTTAAGGTTTGAGTCATATGAGTCTATAAATAAGTCCTAAATTCAGAGAGAAACTATTCTTTCTGCTGTCGTTTATGTAATGTTTGCCCAAAAAGCATGTTCACATTTCTTTTAAGCACAGTCCCCAGTTCACTGACCTGGGAAGAGGATTTTAGAACTTAACCCTTCAGTTATGACAAAAACCAGAAATGAAGTAAAAGTTAAAATTCCGACAGCCAATTCTACACATTCTTTGAAGTCTGATCGATACCATTAGGAAAACTAATAATGAATGGAATCATGTGGTGAAAGCAGGTCCTAATACAAGTAAAAAAAATTAAATTAAATACATAAATAAAAGGAAATCTGTTCTGTATTCCCTCTAAGTGAAAATCAAAGCCCTGAGGGAAAAGGCTGCCTCTTTGCTTTAGAAATTTTTTAAGAGGCAGCCCAAAGTCCTGCCTGAGATGCTCTATCTCACAATATTTTCTTTTTCTCAGTTATTCTTGATGTAAACAATTCTGGTCTTTGTTGTTGTTGTTTGTTTTTTGGGGGGGTACTGGGGATGGAACTTGGGACCTTGCATTTGTGAGGCAGGTAGCGGCACCACTGAGCTAAATCCCTGGCAAATATCTGTATTATGTTTTAGACTTTGGAGGGGAAAACCTCACTGGGTATGAGACAGCAATCAACTGGAACCACCAACTGAGAAAATGATGCCATTCTCCCATGAGGGAAAAGAAAACTGAGAGGTCACCAGGGGAGGACAAACCAACCAGAAGCAGAGCAGGGCTTCTGACTCATTGTTCTCCACTCAATTTTATTTTCCTAACATGGGCATTATCATTTGCATAGAAGAATCCATGGTTAATTGCTTTTGTTTTCCTTGATGTGCATAGCCTCATCTTTGTTCCTCTAAAATAGGCCGCATGAATTGCTTTAAAATTAACCTGGGAAGTCCAAGAAGAGCAGTAACTGGGGCAGCCAGTCCTCGGTGTCCAGTTCAGGGAATGCCATGCTCCTTGCCAGGCTGTGCCTATGCACCAAAGGACAGTCTAGGACTCCAACAGGTGCCAGGGTGAGGAGCCTTACTTCTGAAGAGAGGCAGACAGGTGGCTATGCCATACCCTTGGCCTTCACTCCTCAAACTAACCTCATATTCTCTGAGTAAACTTTTGTTTGTTTTGCAGTGCTGGGAATCAAACCCAGCATTCTGCATGCTTGGCAAGCACTTTACCACTTAGCTACATTCCCCAGCTCTCATGTGAACTTGTTATTTATGAGAAAGGAAAAGATTTTTTCAAAGGGAGACATTGGTTTGCAGATGTCACTTTTGCATATGCAGGAAAAGACATGTAAACTCACCTGGACACAGAAAATAGAATTTACATAACCAATAATGGCATTTAATTTAAAATTTACTTTTGCATTTTTCCGCGAATCTAAAAGGAGTCTTAAAAATACAGTGAATTTAAAAAAGACAAGGAGCCGGGTGTTGTGGCTTAATCCTGTAATCCCAGCACTCGGGAGACTGAGGCAGGAGGATCACTGTGAGTTTGAGCCCAACCTGGGCTACACAGTGAGTTCCAGGGCAGTCTGAACTACATAGTGAGACCCTGTCTCAAAAAAAAAAAAAAAAAAAAAAAAAAAAAAAAAAAGAAAAGAAAAAAGAAAAAAGAAAAGGAAACAAAAGCCAGTCAATAAGAAACCAAAAATAAAAATTACTTGGGACATCTTGTTTTCTCAGCCTCTCCTTTATCAAGATGCATAGAATCACTAATCAGAACATAGCATATAATAGAAACTGAAAAGACACCTAATATTTACTGGCTACTTACTAAGTGCTAAACAGTTTCATGTACATTATTTCTTTTAATCCTTATTACTGTCCACATTTTATATATGAGAAAAAGGAGGCTTACAGCTAATAAGTAGCAGAGTCTCCATTTGATTCCAGGATTCCACTGGTCTTCTGGAAACACTTTCCTCCATCATCCATTATGTTTATATACTAATTTTTCATTCACTCACTTTTTTTTTTTTTTTTTTTTTTCTCTATTTCCTCTTTTTTTTTTTTTTTTTTTTTGGTCCCAGGGATCAAACTTAGTTCCTTGCACTTGCGAAGCAGGCAGTGGAACCACTGAGCTAAATCCCTGGTCACATTCATTCATTTTTCTTTGGATTTTTTTTTAATGCTGGGGATCAAACCTAGGGTCTTGCCTGTGCTAGACAAATAATCTATCAGTAGCTATATCTTCAGCCTTAAGTGCTAAATTTTAAAAATTCATCCAGCTTCTTAGCTCTTTCACACATATTTCACAAGAGGCACCATTTAACAAAGATCTCAGAGTTACTGTCAAGAGGGATTTAAGTTCGGATTGTTCTGCTCCCTGAAGAAAAGAAATAATTATCAGAAAAATAAGGATCCAAGAGAAAACTAAAATTGATTGACTATAATTAATAAAATTCTGTAGGTCAAGAATCTTCATCTAAGAATTCTAAAAATTTCAGAGACAGGGATAATTATATGTGTGCGCACAGATACACACACACATACACAGATTATTACGGTAAGCATAGAACCACAGAATTTAAGAAATGGAAGGGATTATGAATGTGAAAACTTTAGACCCACACGTAGATAGCTATGTAAATACTCATTCCCAGGTTCCCTGATTCCCAGGCAAATGCTCATTCCAGGACTAAGGAATCAGGTCATTTTCTTTAGCATTTCAAGTCTCCAGTTAAGATCTTCAAAGTCAACCTCTTCCGAGTCATCAGGATCAATGGACCGGCTTGTGTGAGGTTTTACATCAGGCAAATCAGGTAGCAGTGAGTTACGGAAACCAATCTTGACTCTTGATTCTGGCTGTGGAGAAGTCTGAGGGTTGAGTCCTGGACCTATTCATTTCAATGAACATAATTAAAAGTCACAAGGCAGCCCTCCAGAAAGAAATCCCAGCCTCAAAGAAAATAACGGTTGTGCTGTGCTGCATTGTGTTGTGTTGTGCTGCATTGTGTTGTGTTGTGAAGGAGTTGAGGACATATCATGTTTTTAAAAAATGCCTAATTGGTTTCTTAATTATTTCAGGATGCAATCACTTGAGGAATTGTGACTTCAGAAAGGGCCATTTGGCCAGTCATTTCCTACAAGCCATAAAGATTCTTTGGGGAGGGCTGGGATTTTAGCTCAGTGGTTCTGCTGCCTGCCTTGCAAGCACAAGGTCCTGAGTTCAATCCCTGGTCCCCCCCACCAAAAAAAAAAGATTTTTAGGGGAAAGGCATCCTTCCCAAATCAAGGCCAGAAAGTAGCCTAAGTCACTAGACACGGTAATTTGGGTTGTAAAGAACCTGAATAAACAAACTCCTGCAAGTAACTATTCACTTCCACTACCTTTGACATCCCACCCTCATATCTCTTAGTAATACAGTATTCCTAGAATTTACAGCTGTAGTCCAGATGTCCATTTGTCCTGCTATTCCCTCACACATTTATTGCTCTTTGCCTAAAAAGAATGAAAGTATTTTGCTTGGGTCATTTCTTTGGAATTCACTCTCTTGTGAAGATCCCCATATACGTGTAAAATTAACAAACCCTGAGTGATTTTTCTCATTAATCATCTGTTGTGTTAATTCACTTTCTGGATCTAGCCAACAAGCCTATATAAGCACCCAGAAGTGGTAGGAGACTTTCTCCCTCCCCTACAATTGCTTTTGAGAACGCAGCAAACGGTGGCTGGAAAGCTGGGTAACTCCCCCATCATGCAATAGTTGGTATCATTAATGATTTGCTGGGCTTTTAAAAGAGAGACAGCTTGCCGGGTGTGATGGCGCATGCCTATAGAATTCCAGAATTCAGAAGTCTGAAACAGGAGGATCACTGTGAGTTCGAGGCCAGCCTGGGCTACATAGTGAGTTCCAGGTCAGTCTCAACTACATAGTGAGACCCTGTCTCAAAAAACAACAACAAAAAAAAAGACACAGCTTTTCAAAGTCATGACAGGATAATCTAGTGATAGTGGTTTTAGAATTCACTTGTTTAACGACTTTCTGAGATCCCATAAAAGCAAACAATGAATAATCTCCCTTATAAATATAAAATTTTGCCTGTGATTTAGGGGGTGGACTTTGGGCTAATGTAGACTACATTAGCCCAAATTCCCAGCAATAAGTGTCCTAGTAGGAATAGCTTTATTTTTCTGCTAACCTTCAGCTACTAATGTTTTGAATCTCCTGAATTTTGGAAGGTCCATAATATGCCAAATTATACCATTAATTTCAAAACACTATCCACAAACATGTTGAAAACTGTTAGCTACAATAAAACAAGACACTGTACCTCTGGTACATCACTAACAGACTTCCATCACCAGTGGAGAAATAGTTGTATAATAACTCACATATCTTCAGCGAGTAGCAAGCAACTCAAACTTCCACCAGCATTTTCTATACTTACTAGGAAGCACTGAAGGAAGCAATGTGTTCTTATAGTCATTATTCTGAAGGAAAAAGATCAATGGAAATGTTTACATTTCTTGTAAAAATGGAATTAAAGGGTTTGAAGGGGTAGAAGGGAGGGGAGGGTAAAGGGAGGGTGGGGACAAGGGGAAAAAATGAGAACCAAGACCTGTCATGTAAAGGTACAAGATCCCAGTAATGAATGTAACTGCACTATCTACCTAGAATGTACCAATAAATTAAATTTTAAAAAAAGAAATGTTTACATTTCAGATGCATATTTTACACACAGCAAGCCTGCAATAAATATTTTTTAAAATTAACTTTAATTAATTTCACTTTAGAACAATCAAGCTTCCTTCCTGTTTGGGGTAGAAAACCAATATACTCCGGAAATTAGTCTATGGGTCTTGCTTCTCCTGTCACCTGTGACATTGTACAGGAGCACAGGAAATCTTTTTTTTTTTTTTTTTTTTCAGTAAATCACAAAACTGTCAAGGCAGTGTTCAAATTTATAATCCTCCCACCTCAGACTTCTAGAGTGCTGGGATTACATGCATGCATCAACACACCTGGCTAAAATCCAAGGAATCTTTGGAGCTGGAGGTGGTACTTCTAAAAAAGATTTCCATTTAATTAAATCAGAGAACTTTAGCTGGGCATGGTGGATTATACCTGTAATCCCAGCAGTGGGAGGTTGATGCAGGAGAGTCTTGAGATGAAAGCCAGTTTAGAATACATAGTGAGTTCAAGAACAGCCTGCCAGGGGTGGTGGCGCATGCTGCAATCCCAGCACTTGGGAAGCTGAGGCAGGAGGATCACTGTGAGTTCAAGACCAGCCTGAGCTACATAGTGAGTTCCAGGTCAGTCTCAACTACGTAGTGAGACTCTGTCTAAAAAAAAAAAAAAAAAAACCACAGAACTCTTTCTTCAAAAACTAAAAAACAAGAAGAAAAAAGTGGAACAGAGAGAAGGAAGTATTCAAGATTAAAGGTTAAGACAGCAGGTGCAGTGGCTCATGTCTGTACTCCCAGCTATTTGAGAGGCTGAAGCAGGACTACTGTGACTTGGAAGCCAGCTTTGGCAACTTAGTGAGTCCTTGTCTCAAAACAAAATAAAAAGTGCTGGGGACGTAGCTCAGTAGTAGAATGCTTGCCTAGCATGTATGAGGCTCTGGGTTCATTCTCCAGTACCACCAAAAAAAAGTAAGTAAATAAGTAAACACTTTAAAAAGTAAAAATAAGAAAAAAAGTTCTGAGGATGTAACTCAGTGATAAAGCTTACCTACTATGTGTGAGACCCTAGGTCCAATCCCTGGTACCACACACACACACACACACACACACACACACCACAAAGTTGAATTCCTCTACCCCCACCCAGGACTGGGGATTGAACCCAGGTTGCTATACCACTGAGCTACATCCCAGGACATTTTATTTTTTTGTTTTGAGACAGGATCCTTCTAAATTGCCCAGGGTAGCCTGAAATTTGCAATCCTCCTGCCTCACCCTCCTTAGTAGCTGGGATTACAGACAGGCGCCACCATACCCAGTTTTTTTTGGGACTTTAATTTCAAAAAAATAACTGCAAACAATATTTTGAGCCAAGAGTGATGGCACACACCTGTAATCTCAGCACTTGGGAGGCTGAGGCAGGAGGATTGCTGTGAGTTCAAGTCCAGCCTGGGCTACATAGTGAGTTCAAGCCTAGCCTGAACTACACAGTGACATAGTAAGACTTTGTCTCCAAAAAATAATAATAATAATAAAATATTTTGAGACAATTGGGAAAATTTAATATAAAGTACATATTATATGACAGTAAGGAATTATTTTCATGGTATTTAGCGTAATAGCACTGTTTTCTATTATAAAAACAAAGATATATGTTAGGAGTACATATAATCACAGCCCTCATCACAATGTTTTGGTTAAGTAGCATAGTGTTGTAGCACAAGTCATTATGCACACAGCACACATTTGTGGTGTTGCTGGTATACACAAACCCCCTGTGCTGACAGTCGTAAAAATATGACATGCACAATTATGTACAAGACATCATACTCGGTTATGTCAACAAATAACTACTTAACTGGTTTATGGTTTCACTCACTGCACTATACTCTTGTCACTCTTTTAGAGCGTGCTCCCCTTTTTAGAAAAGAAAAAGTACACTATAAAACAGTATGCCATGTTGTACTAGGGACAGCCTCATGCACCCTGTGTCTCTTCATTGCACCAGAAGCCAGATCAACAGCCCCATCGAGGCCTGTGTAAGTACACTCAGCAACAGTCACACAATGATCAAATTGCCCAATGATGTCTTTTCTTAGAATGTACTGGTCGCCAAGTCACACACAACCACACTGAAATATTTACACTTAAAACTGTATAATGTCTGAGATTTGCTTTAAATTCTTCCCCTTCCTCCCCCTAAACTGAAGAAGAGACAGAGGAAATAAGAGCAGCAAAATGTTGAGAACTGGTAAGAATGAATGATGGATACACGCAGTTCACTGTATTATTCTAATTTTGTATGTACCTAAATTTTCCACAGTAAAGGTTTCTTTGTTTCATTTTCGAATCAGAGGTCTCAGATTCCAACAGTACAAGCTGAACAGTACACACAGTGTAGTTCAGACCAACACTTTCAACACAGAAAATCAGACTTAGTTTGTGTCTAAACATAAAATCTTAGAAAAAATGTTCAAGAGTCAGAAATGCCTGTACGGTAAAAAGGAAAAGAGCATTTCTCTTTACTTTATGATGAATGAATAAAGACAACTAATGTCTATGGCTCTTTAGTTTTTACCCATTCGACCTCTCCAGATTTATATATACAAAGCTGTGAGGTTTTTACTATTTTAATATGAAAGTAAATTGTTTTCCCTACACATAAGTAGAATATAGCTAATCTGAAACATGAATCTAAATCATTGTACACAATTTTCAGATTTGTCCAGCTCCATAAAATGTTCTTTGTAGCATGTACTTTGCAACTGTCGAGAGTTTGATGAGTGACTAGCTTTGTTTTCTCATGAGTTCAGAAGAGCAACACATCAGTATCCGTTAAATGATTGCAAGTATCTCCCTGGTCTTAAAAAAAGATCTGATCTTTCAAAAGGCCAATTAGAAGTATAGTCTGTACTGCAAACAGTCCCATTCCAGTTTCGGTGTTCCCACTCATACTGACCTGTCTTCCAGGAGGAAGGAGCGGGACATAAGGACAGAGAGACGGCAAAGGTGAGGGACCCGGTGTAGGCATCAGAGATGCCCCAGATGGATCACCAGTTCCTACTACAGTACCACCTCCTCTGCCAAGGGGATCTTTCCTGACATCCTTGACAAATCCAATACTGTCCAGATCTTCTACAGCATCAGCCTGAGGCAAGGAGGTAAGAATCCCACTGTATTGTCAGTTTTTCACAGATGTGCTTATTGCGTACTTACTACATGCTACACACTCCTGAAAGCACTAGGACGAAATGACAAGCAACGTGATACAGTTCCTGCTCTCATGGAACATATGTACTCTACTCAGTTAGTTAAAAGCAACTTCAGATTTTCTAGCCCATAGACTTCTTTCCTTCCCTTTCTTTTTTTTTCCTTCTCTTTCACTGACTGTCTTTTTTGTACCTAAGAAGTACAGCAGTGATTAACAGCAATATGCAAATATATACAAATATGTCTACAAACTTCATTTTTTTTAAATGTAGTCCAGGCTGGTCTTGAATTTGTGGCAGTCCTCCTGTCTCAGCCTCTCAAGTGCTGGGGTCTACACACCCAGCAGTCTACAGACTTTAGCAACGGTGAACTCTGAATGTATTAGTTCATTTGACAAAAATCTGATTGCCTAGCAGAAGCCAGGAACAGTGCTGGCGTGCAACAGTGGGAGAGACAGGTTATAAACAGGATCACTAAGTGAGCTCTATAGTATGTTAGCCAGAGACAAGTGCTATAGCGAAAAATATAGAGCAGAGAAGAGGAGGAACGTAATCTCAACACTGAGAGAGGCTGAAAGTTCAAATCCTGCCTGGGCATTTACAGACCCTATCTCAAAATACAAAAAAAGAAAAAAAAAAAAAGCAGCTCAGTGGTAAAGCAACCTTGGGTTCAATTCCCAGTACCACCAGAGAGAGAGGGGGAGAAGGAAGAGGAGGAAGAAGTGAAGGTAAGAAGGAGAAGGATAAAGAGGAAGGAGGAGGCTAGGGATGTAGCTCAGTGGCGCAGCACCGGCCTGGCCAATGCAAGGTCCTGAGTTTGATCCCCAGTATGTAAAAAGAAATCAGTTGAAGATTAGCTGGGCACATGGTGGTGCACACCTGTAATCCCAGCACTCTGGAAGCTGAGACAGGAGGATTTCTGAGAGTCCGAGGCCAGCCTGGATTACTTAGTGAGTTTAGGGCCAGCCTGAAATACAAAGTGAGACCTCGTCTCAAAAGACAAAAAATAAAGCTGGAGTAGGGAGAGAAGAAGGAGAAAGAAGAGGGGGAGGAGGAGGAGGAGGAAGAGAAGGTGAGGAGGAGAAGTGTAAAAAGTGGGAGGAGAAGGTGGATGAGGAGCAGGAGGAGGAGGGGAAGAGGAGGGAGAGAGTAGGTAGAGATTTTAGAGAAGGCAGCCAGAAAAGGCCTCAGCCAGAAGAGAACATTCAAGTAGAGACCTGAAGGAAGGGAGAGGGACCAGTCAGATACCAAGAGAACACAGCACCAGGGAAAGTACAAAGGTCCTGAGTTGAGAATGTGCGTGTTTGAAGAAACATAAGAAGGCCAGTGTGGCTGAGACAGAGTAAACAAGGGGAGTCTGATAAACAAGGGGAATGCCGCTGAGAGACATGCTGAGAGCAAAGAGCAGGTAGGTCACTCACAGAAAGACTATTATTCTAAGGGAAGTAAACCTCCACTGTAAGGCCCAGGATTTAGCTCGGTGGTATTGTGCAAATTTTGAAATGTATCATTTTTCAATAAGCTGCATGACTCTTAGAGAAGAAAAAAAGGTTGGAGTCCCTATCAAGAAAACATCAGAAGCAAAGCATTAGAAAAGATGTGTGTGTCCCTTAGCCACAACCCAACCTGATATACACTGCTCCAGCAATCTGTTTTCTGTTTTAGTTTTTGGGTGTTTTTTTTTTTTTTTTTTTGGTTGGTTTTTTTTTTTTTTTTTTTGGTACCAGGGATCGAACTTGGGTCCTTGCCCTTGCGAGGTAGGTGGTGGAACCACTGAACTAAATCCCCGGCCCTGCTCCAGCAATCTGACAGCAGTGCAGAATCCTCCATTGCTCCATGACCTCACCGAGCAGAAGTCTGACAACCGAGTGTGAGGCTTTCTTTTATGAAGAAGTCATCAGACACGGCCTAATTAATCATTCAAACAAGTAGCTCCCCACGCGAAGTGATCACAGTGGCTCGGGAGAAATCCTTCTTGCCTAAAGACACTTGGTGACTGCCTCTGGGAGGATTAGTCCAGCCTCCATTATGACGAAGATGACAACCAGCAAAACTTGAAGCCAGCCACACAGTCACAACTCTGTATTCCCAGCACAAGGAAGGATCCCTTGAACCCAGGAGTTAAAGATCAGCTTGGACAACAAAGTGAGGCTTCATCTCAAAGCAAAATAAAAATCTTGACTACATTTGTTCTATATTATGCATTGCATGGGACATTCAGCTTCCTTGCATGTATTAGCTAATTTAATCAACTCAACAAATTCATGAAACAAGTACTATTATTCTCTCCCTCTTCACAGTCCAGAAAATTGAGTCTTCGAGGGTTATTCAGTGTCTCATGGGTAATAGATGGTGGAAGTAGGATCTGAATATGGATCATTTCACTTTCTCTCTCTCTCTCATGTGTGCATCTCATGTTTGTGTACTGGAGATTGAACCCAGGGTCTCTGCACTGAGCAACATCCTCAGCCTCTCTTGTTTTTACTTTTTACTTTGAAACAGGATCTCAATAAGTCCCCAAATTGCCTGGGTTGGGTTAGAAATGTCAATCTGCCTGCCTCAGCCTCCCAGAGTGCTGGGATTACAGGCATATGCCACCACACCTGGCTTGAACTAATACTCTGAACCTAGACCAAATGACACTGCTGTGTAGCTTTGCACCTTGCAGCCTTTATTCCAAGATTTATTTATTAAAGTACAGGCTGGGGATTTAGCTCAGTGGTGCCGCCACCTGCCTCACCTGCACAGCGAGTTCTATCCCTGGTATCAAAAATAAATAAATAAATAAATAAATAAATAAATAAATAAATAAATAAATAAAATAAGGTGCAAAATATGTGCAGGACAATGTGGTCCTCCCCACTCCATGCCCTGTACTGGGAATCGAACTCAGGACCTTGCGCTTGCCAGGCAGGTGCAGCACCAGTGACCTACATTCCCCACCCTAGGACAATATTAAGATCTTAAGATCTGAAAATGTTTGAGACATTTCTGGATGAAGCATTTTAGGGTCCTTCATCTATGTTTTCAACCCTGTTCTTCATGTATGAGTCTGTTAGGTATGGTAAGTAGCACAGTACAAACTTCACCTACTTCACAATTCTTCCAGAGTAACTCTGCAAGCTGCATCCCTACGTAGAAAAAAGCCTCTGGAGCATAATAAAAATGTTGGCCTCAAATCCTTTCTTACTTTATTTATTTATTTATTTTGCAGTACGAGGGATAGAACCTAGGCCCTTGCGCATGCTTAGCAAGCGCAATCCCTGAGCTACACCACTAGCCCACATTTCTCCTTTCTTGAAACAACTTATCATAACGGTTACCTTGGATTTGTAGGGCACATGATAGTTCTTTGCAATTTCTACCAAGTATTGCTCCACTAGAACTTGGGGTAGAGTGTTCACGTTTAATTTGTGCATTAGCTGCAAATGAAGAACACAACAGATTTGGTTATCAGATACTTGCACAATGAGAAACAAAAGCAACGTAGGTGGTCTTTCAACTCTGAATCACCATTCTCCATCTCTTTAGCCTCCATTGTCTAAGATGTCTAATTTTTAAAATACATATAAAGTAGTGGCAAAGAGGGACCCTGCTTGTGAATGTATCCTAGGACAGCCCTACCTTAAGAGTTAAGGAAAGTCAAACCACTTCCTGAAAAAAGTAAATACGAGAAAAAAATATTTCAAATAAAGAATTCTGATTTTGCTGGGCATGGTAGTGCATGCCTGTAATCCCAGCACTTGGGAAGCTGAGGCAGGATTGCCACAAATTTGAGGCCAGCATGGGGTACATAATGAGTTTAAGACCAGGCTGAACTACATAGCAAGACCTTATCTCAAAAAAAAAAAAAAAAAAAAGAGGAATTCTGGGCCAGGGCTTTAGCTCAGTTCAAGGTCCCGAGTTTGATTCCAGGTACCAAAAAGAAATGGAATTCTGGGGCTGAGGGATGTAGCTCAGTGGTGCCGCTGCCTGCCTCAAAAGTGCAAGGTCCTGAGTTCAATCCCCGGTACCAAAAAAACCAAAAAAAAAGGAATTCTGATTTTGGGGTATTTAAATTACATATGAAGTGATATTTAACACATTTAATAACCAGTACAGCATGGCAGTGAACAATCATAATGAACACTGAGGGCCAGGGCTTTAGCTCGGTGCTGCTGCACCTGCCTCTCAAGGACGAGGTCCTGAGTTCGATCCCTGATACAAAAAGAAAACACAACTCAGAATGGACAATGAATGACAAAAATATCCACTGGCCTGAAACAAGGACAGTGGCCAGGTCTCTGTTTTCTAGCTGAATGTCAGTCCTGAATTACTAAGTGTGGTTATAATGTCATTGTTCAAGAGTTGAAGTTTCTAAGTCTCATTAGCCTCCTTCTAACTACCAGGCCTGTTACATTTGGAAAAAATGTATGCTTGCTTTCTTTCTTTCTTTCTTTCTTTCTTTCTTTCTTTCTTTCTTTCTTTCTTTTTTTTTTTCTGGTATTAGGGATTAAACTCGGAACCTCGTGCTTTTGAGGCAGGAGGCAGAACCACTGAGCTAAACCCCTGGCCTAGAAAAATGTATGCTTTCTTTAAAAAGAAATCACTTCTCTTTTTTGAGGGACGGGATAAAGGGCTTTAGCTTCTTTTATATAAAACTTTGCTATTTCGTAGTCCATTAATTGTATTCAAGTTGCTCCGCCTCCAATGCTAAATTTATTTCTAAACATCTGGCAGTTCAGTACAAAATTATATGTTCTTAGTTTGCTTACTTTTTCCTAGACTTCTTGGCTTAGAAAAATGCATGTCTGTGGGAACGGTGTTACCTGAGGGTTGACAGTTCCAATCTCGTTGGTTCGACAGAGCTGACCATATTCTTGGCTGTATTTTGCACATAGCTGATTAGATACCTGCAACAAACCATCACCGATGAAGAAAGGAAGGCAGAATTCATCCAGTTATGGCCAGCTAACTTCAGATGAAGACAATATAAGAAATCACAAATCACTTTTCATGTTATGCCTGGAGTTGAGTTTTTTAAACATCAAACACCAATCACAACAAACATTGGCTTTTAAGTATACGATAAATGTCAAACTCAACACCTCTAATTCTAAACATCTCATAAAGTGTGACACTACTCCTCCCTGAAAGACACCCAATTTTATGTGCCATTTTGATTTTTTTTTTTTTGGTTTTTTGTTTGTTTGTTTGTTTGTTTGTTTGTTTGTTTTTGGTAACCGGGGATCGAACTCGGGTCCTTCCGCTTGCAAGGCAGGCAGCAGAACCTCTGAGCTAAATCCCTGGCCATTTTGATTTTATTAAGGCTTATTTATTTTCTTTTATCAGTATCATAAAAAAGTATTTATTTTTCACTTAAAGACTAACAAAAGAGACCAGATATGGTGGTGCACACCAGCAATTCCAGAATTCTTTGAGGCTGAAGCAGGAGGATCACAAGTTTGAGCTCAGCCTAGGTCATTTAAGAATTTAGAGAGATCCTGTCTCAAAATTGTTTTAAAAATTTGTTTTCACAAATGGGCTGGGGGTGTAGTTCAGTGCAAAGGCCCTGGGTTTAATCCCCGGTGCTGAACAAAAAAAATATTAAGAAAAGAAAATACTCTTAGAAAGAAGGAAAAAATAGAAACAAAGCTTCTGTAAATAGGGAGGGGTGGGGGGTAAGGGAATGGGAAGAAAGAAGAACCAAGATACATCATGTGCAGGTACAAACTCCCAGTGGTGAATGCACTCGTGATGTATACCTAAAATGTACCAATGAATTTGAATGATTAAAAAAGAGAGAGAGAAAAACACTCTTTTGGTTAACCTTAAGAGGGGGAAGGATTCTCCAAATAACCCCACCATTCCGAATAAATCACAGTAGCAGTACTCACATGACACAGGGAGTTAAAATTGGTCAAACTTACTATTCTCAACTCAGGCACCTCTGAGAGCAGTCGAGGAGCTGCCCAGATAAGCGTAGATACAGATTCGGCCAAACCGGAGTCTAATTCCCTAAGAAAGGCAAAAATTATGACACTCAGGGTGCCGTGTTTTCCTCTTTTCCCTACTTCAGAGGTAGTTCATATTCAAAGGTAGCATAATGTTCACAGTGGAGTGTTAATTGACTTATTCTTTAAAACTAACATTGGAATATAAATCTATGTAAAAGTATATGGAGGGAGGGAAGGAGAGAGATTAGAGGCAAGGCAAATTGTACAGGTGTCTTAGAAGGAATGCGTGGGATTTGTTGTGAAGACCATCTCCATTCAAGTGCCGTGGGTGACTTAAGGACACTTCAGCTACTAGAGTCAATAGTCTGCAACTTAATTATTCTCCCAAGAGTACTGTGGAAAAATATAGCAAGATTAACATCTCTCCCAAGCCAGATATAGCAGCACACACCTGTAACCCTACCACTCTGGAGCCGGAGGCAGGAAGATTGTGAGTTCATGGCTATCCTGAATAAGAAGATGTGGTGTTGCCGGGCATGGTGGCGCACGCCTATAGTCCCAGCACTCAGGAGGCTGAGGCAGGAGGATCGCTGTGACTTCAAGACCAGCCCGGGCTACATAGTGAGTTCCAGGTCAGTCTCAACTACACAGTGAGACCCTGTCTCAAAAAAAGAGAAAAATTTCTGGTGTGCTGATAAACAGTAGGGTGATGATAAAGTGACAAAAATGTACTGAATGATTCAAAAAGCTAGAAGCAGTCAGGCATGGTTTCAACACTGCACAATATATACATGTATCAAAACACTGCTGATACTGGACAAATATGTATAGTTTTCCTGTTTTTATGGGTCAGTACTGGGAAAAAATTGATTACATTTTCTCGGTGTTGAACAATTCTTTAATGTTATTTAGTATTTAAACAGAAAATATGGACTCTGTGTTTTCAGCTCCTTTGCAAGTGCAAACCAAAACACTATGCGTGTTATATGCAAACAAAACAATGAAACGAATTTTTTTTTGTTTTGTGTTTTGAGACAGAGTCTTACTATGTAGTTGAGACTGACCTGGAACTCACTGTGTAGCCCAGGCTGGTCTCAAACTCACAGTGATCCTCCTGCCTCAGCCTCCCAAGTGCTGGGATTACAGGCGTGCGCCACCACGCCCAGCTTGAAATGAATATTATTAAATTTAACAGACTTAATATGATGGACCACATATTCCAAGATTACGTTGTTCTTCACATGTATGGATCTGTTCTGGTTTACCAGTATCACCATTAATTGCATTCATCACTGTACTGTTGTGCTTCCTAATTATAATGAATGTTGGCTCATATATCTCTCCACTGATTCATTCTCAGGCTGCAAATGTACCCTCTTTTTACTTATACAACTTCATCCCCTTAAATCACATGCCAACATGCACTTAAGGTAGTGATCAGATATTTTTATTTTAATTCTTTTAAGACTATCATCATTTTAATGACCCCCCCAAAAAATTTTTTATTTCCTGGAGAAAATAGGCATCTACCCGTGGACCCATCTTGATAAAAGAGCTGTGAGGCCCTACATCACAGGGGCTCTTGGTGTGGGTGTTTCCAGACAAGACCATCTTCTCCAGACTAGTGCTGAGAAACGCTATTTGAGAAAACCAGAAACGGGGGACTTGAGCTCATTTATGTCTAGCTGTGGCAACTCAAGAGTCTTCCCTTAGTATCCCTAGGCCTTCAGTATAGGCTGTCTGATGATGTTGTCAACTAATTCCTGGGGCTTTCTAGAATTTCAGTCCTGAGAGTTCTCATTCTTTATATCCTGTGAAGCAATATAACAAGGAGAAGAACTTGTTTTTGCTTGGATACCAGCTGTGAAACCAGAATTCTGAGAATTGCAAATTCTTTTTTTTTTTTTTTCTTATCTTGATCTAGACTTCCCCTAATCTTTGAAAGCAATGTCCTATCCAGGTAGGCAGGCACATTCTGAGTCTTCACTGTTTTGTCCCTCCCATTTTCCTCTCTTAGCAGAGTCAGCCTTTGACTTTGGTCACGGTCATGAGACTCAGGCTGTGGCAGTACTGTTACTTCATTCTGGTCACAGTGACTGTTACAGATTCCTCCTGCCTGAGTTTCTCACTGGAGGTAGAAGAAGCCCTTTTCCTGTCACTGTGAGGACTGCAGGCCTGAGTCCAAAGGAGACATATTTCTAATCTCCTGAAGGATCCAGTCTGAGATTGAAGTAGAAATGAAAGCCCTAGAAAAGGGTTATGGCACTCCACTGTGAGATCCAGACATCCTAAGGCCCCTTCTTCTTTGTTCTCCCTTAAATTCAGTCAAGTGAGTTCATAACTCCTCCCACTTTAAATTTTTTAAACAAGGTAAACATAAGTAAGCAGGGTGTGGTGGTGCCCACCTGCAATGCCAGCACTTGGGAGGCTGAGGTAGGAGAATTGCTGTGAGTTCGAGGCCAGCTGGACTATACAGTGAGACCCTGTCTCAAAAACAAAACAAATAAATAAATAAAGGACCGGAGATGTAGTTTAGTGCAAAGGCCCTGCTTTCAATCTCGAGTACCAAAAATAAATAAATTAATTAATAAGCAAATAAATATGAAATAAAAGAGAGAGAAAAAAATTGTTCAGTGGTTCCAATAGGCTAACGCCTACCCTCTCCCTCACCAGGTGGAGAGACGCCTCCTCACTCCTTTGGTGTGAAATGATGCACTCACTTTGTGGCCTGAATCAGGCTAACCCGAGCCAGCAGCAGGTCACAGTACAGCTCCAGGATCTCCATGGCCTCCACGAGGTAGTCTTCCCGGATGATGTGCTCCACTCGGATCCGTGCTCGCTCATCCTTCCCAGAGGCCAGATAATCCGCAATCTCCTTCCTTGCTTTCTGGGTCTGCTCAGCTGCAGAGTGCAGAACAAAGCAGGCATAGAAAAATGAATGTGCAAAGAGGGTTTGTTGAATAAAAAAGCATTTTACACAATACAGTGAAACTCTGGTTTAATTTTTTTAAAAAACCCAAAACATGCACCTAAAATAGTCTATATACGCACACACACACACACATACATATATGTGTGTGTGTTTATGTGTGTGTGTGTTTCACACTAGCTCAGAAGTCACACAGTGTGTTCAAGGCCAGCCTGAACTACATGATGAGACCCTGTCTGAAAAAACAAAGAAACAACCCACCCCCCAAAAATGAACAAACAGAAAAGAAGTAACTGGATAAACTGGAACTCATGGCCAAGTCTTCAGGCTGCAAATTCCTATGCCTTTTCTCCACCTCGTTTGTTCTTTTTCACCCCATTATGCCAAACAATGAATAAGTGGAGTCATGTTGGACAGGTAACAATGTAAATGTAACCTGTCCTAGTCCAATACATTAGGATAAGTAAAGTCGTATCACCTCGTGTTATCAGGTGCTGACTGAGACTGAGAAAAGCTTTTTCATAAGCCAGGAAAACCTCTGAGCCTCCACACTGTATATTTCCTTGCCACAGCCTAAAAGCGATAATCTCATTACTGACTAGCGTTACTCTCACTGCTAAACATGTCGACATGCAACTGCATTGGAATTCAAGAGCAGCACAAAGCTCAATGCTTGGAAGGCAGCATAGACACCTCCAAAGTAGGCAACTATTCTTTTCTCTAAACAGATCAGGGAAAAGAAATCACAACAGCACCCGACTTAGTGCAACACAATAGTGCTGAACTGCTGTCACACCTACTCCAGTACTAGTAAACATTTAAGTGTGCCCAGGTAATACTCTGTGATACAAACAGAAGCCTGGAGTGATAGGTCAAGACTGTTGCTGTCGTTAACAAAGGAATAAATTTATGTTGCCATGCCTACTGGCACCTGCCTGTAATATCAGCACTCAAGGGGTGGAGACAGGAGGATAGCAGTGAGTTCAAGGCCAGCCTTGGCTACATAGTAAGTTCAAGGACAGCCTGGACTACACAGCCAGACCTTGTCCCAAAAAAGAAAAAAAGAAGGCCAGGGATTTAGCTCAGTGGTTTGGTGGCCTGTCTTGCAAGTGCGAGGACCCGAGTTCGATCCCCGGTACCAAAAAAAAAAAAAGAAAAAAAAGAAAGGAATTAATGTAAGATGACTATACTGTTCTACTTATCTAAAATCACTCTCAAACTATGTTTACATTTCATCCTTTGTAAAAGAATAAAAGGGATAATATTTATCTGGATAATAACATGCAACACTGGCCAGGGGTGGTGGTACACATTTATAACCCCAGAACTAGGGGAAGCTGAGGCAGGAGGGTTTCAAATTGCAGTCAAGCCTGGGCAACTTGGCAATTTAGCAAGATCCTGTCCTAAAAAAAAAAAAAAAAAAAAAAAAAGATTAGGGAATGTAGCTCAGTGCAAGGATGCTGGGTTCAATCCCTAATACTGCAGTAATCATCATCATCATCATATCATCATCTCCCAAATCACTAGATTGTGAGGGTGAAATACAAGAACATATGGGCAAGTTTCACACTTAATAGCATCATGTACATCAATGTGCACCACCTCATTGCTCATGGTAACAGTAAGGGGCACCCACGGGTTTTCCCATTTCATTAGTTTGGGATACTTTTCTTTTCTTTTTTTCTTTTTTTTCTGGTTTTTTTGACTCAGGGTCTCACTAGGTAGTTGAGACTGACCCGAAACTCACCATGTAGGCCAGGCTGGTCTCGACCTCACAGCGATCCTCCTGCCTCAGCCTCCCGAGTGCTGGGATTACAGGCGTGCGCCACCATGCCTGGCTGGGATACTTTTCTTAGGCCTCTGATATCTAAATCATGCTCAAATATCTGCAAGATCTGGCTAAAGAACACCCCAAAGTCAATTTGGAAGTCGGAGTAACAGCTGCTTCCCTACCAACACATGAGCGGTTACTGAGCGCTCAGAGAGCGGGGTTTAACTGTACAATTTATTTCACCTGAACAAGCATACGTCAAAGGGCAGTGGTGTTGCAGCTAATCAAGAGGTTGATGACTTATTGTCAGCCACCCGAATGAGGAAATGGAGAATACAGGAAACAAGTTAAAGAAAGAAGATATCTGTCTGCACTTTTCCCTGTTCACGGAGGGACACTACTTGAGCTGTCACCAGGTAGAAAAAATTTTAAAATTAAAAAAAAAAAAGAGGCTGGGATTTAGCTCAGTGGTGCCCACGCCTGCCTCACACGTACAAGATCCTGAGTTTGTATCCCCCCCCCGCACAAAAACAGATAAAATGCCTTTTCAGAAAAATTGGCTCAAACTTAATAACTACTATACATTTGAAAAGACTGATTAAATAAAATTCCCTACTGTGAGGGCCGGGGATTTAGCGCAGTGGTCCACCACCTGCCTTGCAAGCGCAAGTACCTGACTTCGATCCCCAGTACCAAAAAAAAAAAAAAAAAAAAAAAA